CAACGGCATTTCGCTCTTTGACTTCCTGACTAGGCCTCTCGATCTCAGCTTGATACTGAGTTGGAAGATAACCGAAACTAGAAGAAGAAGACGACGACTCAACTCTCTCAAATCTCGGAAGTGAACCTAATCCAACGGTTCGACCCTTTACATTTCAAACTTCCTGAAAATATATTTACAAGAGTTAATACAAACAATTAGAAAAAATAATTTAAAAGAATAATTGAAACAAAACTTACCGAGAGAACAATGTTGTTGATCTCATCTCGGGTTAGGTCGTTTGATGAAATGGAGCCATCAACCGTTTCCTGCGAGAGTTCATTGATGCGATCGATCTTCTTCTTCTTGCATTTCTCCACAACCTCACGAATACCGATATCTTGGACTTCTTTGGTTTTTTTGTTGGTGTGTCTCCTCTCCATTACGTCGAGGTAATCGGGAACGACTCCACCTGTTTCTCTCGTCTTTAAAAAAATTATATTAAAATTAAGTAAGATAAATAAACTTATTGAAATATTATAAATTTACTTACCATTTCAGCCACTTCACGGAGAGTCGACTTTGCGCCACCATTGTGGACATAAATTCCCTTTCCTCCTCGTTCACTTTTGCGGTTCTTCGAGTTTTTTTGCTGACTTTGCCTTTGTATCTAGCCGACTCCAATACTCACAAAAACATTTCCAAACGTTTTCTGTCAGATCCCTCGGCATCTCTTTCTGCTCGAGAAAATTCTACTTCCACTCGTTCATGTGTCTAGAGTATTGGACTGCAGTAAACTTGTCAAACGCATCGATAATGGTTTGGGTCCTCTGCGAGTCCCATGTGTAATGTTGCTACAATTAAAAAAATTATGAAAAATTTTATTAGAAAATATAAGTTAGAAAATAAAAATTATAAAAACAATTAAATGAAACTTACAGCAAACGTTCAACGCCATGTATCTTTAACGTCTCGCGGCATAATCGAGTAAGTCTCATACGGCTCATCCAACATGGTATAGTACATCCGCATTATGACCTTACTTATTTCAAGATCTAAGCCAAACCTGCAAAAAAAAAAGTCAAATATAAAAATAATTAATATAATAGTCAAAAATAAATAAATATGAAACAGTTTTATAAATAATTTACCATGTCCCATCTATGCAGTCGGGATCGAGTTTGATGCAATGGTCTCGGTTACCCTGCTGGACAAGCTCCTCAATCGTAATCCGAGTGCTGGCAGCAGATTGTTGGGACTCTGGAACATCATAAGAAGTTGTGCTACGGGACGGACGGCGAGAACGAGAGCGGCCTAGAGTATTATCGCACCTTCAAAAACATAAAAATACGCATAATGTCCATCTAACTCAAAAGGTGGACCATCAAATACTCGACGATTTTTTCTAAACAACGTCGTGCTCTTTCGATATGGATGGTCGCTTGGAAGAAAACGCCTATGACAATCAAACCATGATTTTGTTCGTCCGTTCTTCAGTTGGAATGCATCTGTGTTATCTTGACAAGAAGGACATGCCAACCTTCCATGCGTCGTCCATCCAGATAACATTCCATATGCTGGGAGATCACTAATAGTCCACATAAGTACCGACCACATGAGGAAGTTCTGATGACAAAAAACATCAAAAGCCTGAACATCATGCTCCTATAACATTTGCAGCTCATAAATCAATGGTTGAAGAAACATATCCAGTGATCTCTTTGGATGCTCTGGTCCAGGAACAAGAATACTAAAGAACAGAAACTCTCTTCTCATGCACAAAGATTGGGGTAAATTGTAAGATGTTACAATTATTGGCCACAACGAATATTGCCTCCCATGCTTCCCAAAAGGATTGAAACCATCAGTGTATAATCCAAGGTACACGTTTCTCGCCTCATACGCAAAACTCGGATAAACAAACTGAAAATGCTTCCACGCTTTCGCATCTGAGGGATGAGCTATTTCTCCATCCGTTGTTGTATGCTCTTCATGCCATCTCATTGCCGCTGCTGTGCGCTCTGATTGATATAACCACTTTAGTCTCTCTGTTAATGGCAAATACCACATCCGTTTATGTGGGATTGGCACTCTTCCACTTGTTTCCTTATACCGAGCTTTTTGACAGAATTTACATTTCGAACGGTCTGAATCCTCTCTCCAATAGATCATACAGTTGTCGATGCATACATCTATCATCTGATACGGCAATCCAAGACCAGCAATAAGTTTATGTATCGCATAGTATGATGCTGGTGCAAGATTATCTTCTGGCAAAATATCTTTCACAAAATCAGCTATTGCATCCACATACTCCTCACTCAAATTGAACTATGTCTTTATACCCATCATCCTAGTTGCAGCTGATAAAGGGGAATGTCCCTTTCTACAGCCATCATATAACGGATTCGTAGCAGCATCTAACATATCAAAGAACCTCCGAGCTTCTAAGTTAGGTTCTTCACCTCTATCTCCGTACTCATCAACCAATGCTATACTTTCACGAAACGTATTATTCACCATCTGAACATGACCTATAGTTTCTACTTGATCCGTTCTAGGTTCCTTTAAGCTATACCCAACATATTGTTCACTAGTACTACTATAATCTACCATTGTATCATTTTCTCCATGATAGTACCAAATTTTGTAACCCACCACAAATCCATTGCAATACAAGTGTGACCATACATCGCTTATTAAGAGGTATCTACGATTCAGACAATTACTACAAAGGCAGTAAATTTTACCAGACTTTTTGGCTCTCGACTGTGCACTTGCAAATTCCATGAATTGTTGCAGACCTTCTTTGTACTCTTCCGTAAGTAGGCCCGTCGTTGGAATTTGATGAAGCTTGTCCATCTATGATCGGAAATACTTATAAGGATCTAAAGAAAACATCACAAAAAATGAGTTTTTTTTTAATTGTGGTACTAAGTGAGAGAAGTGGAGTTGTATTATAGAGAAACTGGACGCGCATTTTCGACGGATTTTAAGGGATTTCCGACGGATATTATTAATATTTTAACGGCTATAAACGGCAATAATATTCATTGGAAATCCGTCGGAAATCCATAACGGATTTATTTCGTCGAAAATTCGTTGAAAATTCGTCGGAAATCCATAACAGATTTATTTCATCGGAAATAGGTCGGAAATGTCTCACGAATTTCCGACGGATATAGTTCCGTCGGAAATTTTCGACCAATTTCTAACGAATTTCTTTTCATCAAAAAATCGTTGTTATGGTTTGTTGTCGGAAACGTCGTCGGAAATAAGCATGTTTTCTTTTCTTGTAGTGTGTGGTAAGAATCAGTTCGGTCACACAATTCACAATTTCGAATCTCCATTTTAGAAATGTAAACTTATTTAGCTATTCGGATCCAAGAAAACTATGCAGCAAAAGTCAGTCCATAAGCTTTAAAATGAGTGTTGTGGAAATCACATGTAATAATGGAAAAAAAAAATCCTCAATAGAAATACGATGACAAAAACATATATAGTTACGTAAAAAGGTATTGCTATAAATATAGAATTATTATGATTTTTAATGGAAATCGTGAGAAATGTGTTGAACTATTATGGGTAAGGAAGAATCATCTAGTCACGACCACGCATTCCACTGAAAATAACCAATAACAGCTTTACTTAAATTGTATTATTATTATCTTGACCAAAAAAAAGGTATTATTATAACTTACAGTTACTAAAATTTCAATCTTATCAAATAAATCATGTTAAAAGAGATTATAATATTGTAACTCATTGTTTAGCTAGACACGGTCCCATACATAGCCCTTTCTCTTCTGGAACCGATCATCCTCCACATTGGATAACCAATTCTTTGTATCGTGACTATATCAATTCTATATGAAATATAAATTGCAGTTAAAAAGAAAAAATTATAACTTACAGTTTGTTGCAAACAAAACTGCTGACGCCTTGTCTTTTTAGCTTTTGCATGCACTTATTGTAACTATATATTATTTGAGATGTCGTAACTCATAATGTGTCATGATACATTTTTAAGAATTTTTTTTCTTCATTCCCAAACTAATCAAATAAGAAACGTCCACTTCTCCAGTGTCATCACAACACAAAAAGTATTTATGCCTATGTGTTCACCATGAGATTGATCGATTCTAGTTCAAGAACACTATCAATTTTACAAGTTCTCCTTGAACTAAGGACACGTCTTGTGTACGATTTTAGCCCACAAACCTCACTATTGAACGGATCAAGAGTTTTACAAGCTATCAATCTAATGCGCCTGTCTTTTACACAGTTATACTTATGCCACAAATAGTTAAGAAGAATATGTAACCTCGATAACATGGACCGGAATTGAGAGCCATGAACATGTATAACTTCTCAACTAGTTGCTCTATTTGTTATCATTTAAAATTGGTGAGCTTTAACGGCTACCCTTGTGCTCCTTTTTGTGGGCTCTATAGACATGGCCCAGTCTATTCTTTCTGTTAAGCCCAGTAGCAATTAAGCCGGTGCGATTAATTATGCGTGACCCACACACATCTTGTTAACCCTCTGAAAAACCTCAGCTCATGCCTATTACCCAAAATTCTCATTGTTCTAACTTCGACATTTTCGGAGTTCAAATTTGAGTTTCTTAACCATGATTAATATGATCATTAAGCCATTACTTAAAGCATTTCTCCACCTTTAAGTCTTGAAGTTTAAACTCCACCTTAAAGGATGTTTCTTGCGTTTTGTGGATGCCCTTACGCACAAACCAAGATAACCAGTTCAAATTTGAGGTACTGATACGAATATTCGAGTGACAAAAGTTGCAATGAACACAAACCAAAGAAACCAGAATGATTAGTTGACACTTAAACCATTTTATTAACCAGTAGAAGCAACCCGGCGACGATCAATGAACTCTAAAAAGGGCATATCCTGAGACGTTATCATACAAACGCATACCACCCTCAAGAAACACACAAATCCCTTAAACCGAGATTGATAATTTTTTTGCATCATAACCAAATCGAGACCTTTGCTTAGAAGAGTTCAGTTTCCTTGTGGGTATGGATCACACAGTCTGACTGAGGGTAAGCCACACAAGTTAAGACATAACCTTTCTCGAAGTGATCATCATCAAGAAACGAACCATCACACTGATCAACTTGGCCTTCCTCGATCTTACCGGCGCAAGTGGAACACGCACCGGCTCTGCACGAGTAAGGCAAGTCGACTCCCGCCTCTTCAGCTGCGTCCAGTATGTACTGGTCGTCTGCGACCTCTAGTTCGTTTTCTTGGCCATCGGGTCCTATGAGCTTGACCTTGTATACAGCAGACATGGTGGCGCCGGAGTTCGCAGAGCATTTCAAGCCGAAAGATCTCGAGACTTTGTTGACTGATCCAATGGAGAATTGCTGGATCTTGTTTGTGACGAGCTTGTTGCTCGGCTGGCTTCTAAGAAGCACCTTGGTCATGCTGGTGGAAGACACTCGCACTGTCGCCATTTCGGTTCTTTTTTTCACCTGCGTTTCCACAAGTTTAAGGTTTAGGTTTACTTTAAACGTTAATCATTGGTAATCAAATCAATCAGCTTTTTCAGAAACTTGGATCATCTTTACACAAAGGAGAACAAGATTCACAAATAACACTCAACGAATATACCTAAGCAACATATCGAAATAAACACCAGTTAAACCAGGAGAATGACACATAATTGCATTCACAGACAAATATTAATCACAGTTTACACCTTAATGTCAGCATTAGTGGACAGGCTTAGTTTCTAATAGTCAATATTACTATAATTGTGATAATGTACACCACAAATAGCGCTTGGAAGCAAGAACCAAAAGAGAATTTGTTCCAATAGCAAAACTGATGTGAAAATTTTAATATGTGGAGCGTAATGAGAAGAAGCAAGCTTAAAAGCTTATATAGATCTTCACTCGATGCTCCAAAACACACAGAACTATAACTATTTGTAAATAATAATAAAATCACTAAAACATGTTTAATTCTCATCAAATAGACTCTAAAATCACCATGATTACCTAATCAACGACCTAAAACAGCTTGAAATCGTTACTTTAACCGTGATTAACTATAAAACAACGAAGACCGACGACATCTACAAATTAACTATTAATATCAGCAGTAGAGGACATACTTAGTTTCTACTTTCTAATAGTAATATTACCAACGATGATAAAATCACTAAAACATGTTTAATTCTCAGCAAATAGACTCTAAAATCACCATGATTACCTAATCAACGACCTAAAACAGCTTGAGATCGTTACTTTAACCGTGATTAACTATAAAACAACGAAGACCGACGACATCTACAAATTAACTGTTAATATCAGCAGTAGAGGACATACTTAGTTTCTACTTCTAATAGTAATATTACCAACAAATCAAATGATTTCAAAGAAATAAGAACACAATTGTGATAATGTACATCACAAGTAGCGACTGGAATCAAGAACCGAAAGAGAATCTGTTCCAATAGCAAAACTGATGTGAAAATTTCACTATATGGAGCGTAATGAGAAGATTCAAGCTTAAAAGCTTATATAGATCTTCACTCGATGCTCCAAAAAAAAATCATAGAACTAATGACTATTTGTAACATGTTCAACTCTCAGTAAATACACTATAAAACCATTCGATTAACTATAAAACAACAACGATCGACGACATCTACAAATAAACAAAATTCATCAATCGATTTGACTCTATTTTTGCAGGAAAAATTTGAAAATAATGAGTTCAATTTAGCAGCTTCAATCGAATATATGACAGAAATATTAATCACTATTAATCAGATAACGAAAAAGAGAGGAGTATCGAATCGAGTCGAAAGATACTTAGTAAAGAATTTTTGTTTTTGTCCCCACATAACTCAGATAAAAACAACAAACAAGTAGATTTCAACTACAAATATCGCTTATTCAGATCAAACTTTAGATACAGCTATATCAGAGTAACAACATAAAGAAAATTTGAACAAAATCCAATCGAAGAAGATGAAACTTACAGAGAAAGAGAGAAGGAGGAGGAGGCGGAGACAACGAGAGGGTTGGTGGAGAGGAGAAGGATTTATAAAAGGGAAGGGAACTGTGGCTTTTCGTAGGCCGTGACGGCCCAACTTGCCACCTTCGACGGCTACTAATTATTTTTTATTTTTCTACTATTGACATTTTGTTAAAATTGTTTCGTTTAATTATAAAAACAAATAATATAGATGTTACTTTGGTGAGCTCGATTCGCTTCGAATTCGAATTTTGTATTAATAATTTAGTTTAATTTCTTGGCTAATATCTTTTAATTTATCAAAATTATAATATATTTATAGAAATTTTCTTTTATATAAAAAAATAAATATAATATGTAGTATCTCCTATTTTTGTTTATAAAATTATAAATTAAATCTATCTATTACTAATAAAAGTTGATGTTAAATGCTTCTAAGAGTGTCCACATAGGATTTAAAGATTCAGTTATATTGGTACACATCATTATTATTTTTAGTTAATTATATATTGTATATTAAGATTAATTAATTCATTTTAATTGTTATAAGAAAAATTTCTAAATTTTAGTTAATTTTGTTTTTGTTGTTATTAGGAAAGTTTCTAAATTTTAAGTTAGTTATTAATAAAAAAAAGTTTTGAAAATAGATCTTATTTTTCTATTAACAATAAAAGATAAATTAACATATAAATAGATTATGTAAGAAAAATCAAATATATTGAACAAAATTATTAAAAACTGTATTTAAAATCATAATTAAATTATTTTAAAATTTTAATCACGACAAACAATTAAATCTGAACTACTAACTTAAAATATATTAGTTGTGGTCTGTGTTGATGTCTTAGGCCAATGAAAGCGTCCACATATGACATATATACTCAATCTGATTAGTCTATATCAGCGTTTTTAACTATAGCACTTCACGCCAAGCTTCAAAGACGTTGACCTATAGAGCTTGATGTTGTATCGACTCTTCAGAGAATATCTTAGAAGAGCAAGCTTGAAATCTTCAGGATTATTGAAGGTCTTTCCTAATGCTAGTATTACTTCCAGGTCTTCAGTCTCCCTCTCTCTACGTCTTTCTTTTTCTTTTTCTCCATTGTTGCCGTCATCTTGAGAGTCAGATAACAAAGGATCTGGAATCTTCTCATCGTCCCAAATTTCATCTCTACTGTCTGCATCAGTCGCAGCTTCGTCATCTCTCGCCGCATCTCTAAAGTATTCAGCTAAGTCGCGACAGCCTTCTTCTTCTAAAATTGTTCTAAACTCGTTGGTATTGTTCTCATCACCTCCGTCACTAATCTCATTGCAATCCTTATCACCAGCAACCGTACAATCATCTTCTTCTGCAATTGCAAGCCCACTCTGAGCTTCATAATCACCGCCTCCAACACCAAGCTCTGCTTCAGGTTCTGCTTCAATTACTGGTTCTACTGCTGCTTCTGCTTCAACTGCAAGTTCTACTTGTTAAAATTATCAATTATCAAATATTACTACAATTTTACTTAATAAGATTTATAATTTTACTTATTTTCTATTAGAATTTCGAGACATATTTCAAGTTTTTAACTCGTTCAACTGAAACTAATTAACCCAAGCGATTTTATTTTTGTAAACTAGTCCACTAGTGGAGTTTCGTTATACATTTTATTGTTAGAAAAATAAAATAAAATAATAAACTTATCATTTACAATACTTTCATTATCCTGAAAATATATTTATAAGAACAACAAAGTTCCTAAATTCGTTAAATTTAGATAGAAGCTCTGATACGGTCAGGCTTCATACAATAAAATGTGTTACATAAAAAACAAAAGTGTTACAAGAAGAATATGCAAATCTCTACACGTAAGTATAAAACTATACCAGAAATTAGATTCTAATTATGTTTAACAAATCTTATTAACATTTAACTATAAACTATAAATCTCTAAATTTTGGATCATAAGTTCCACCAAAAAAGTGTTTTAATAAATAGTAAATCGTAAGATTGGACTCTAATTTAAATCTAATAACACTAAAACACAATATCTAGAATTAACTAAATAATTCTGATTAGATTATTAACAAATGAACCATAAAACATGTTTAGGATCTTGACAGAATGTTTTTCTGCCAATAAAAGAATATGTTACAATCTTACTAACATATTGCTTTTTTATCATTATACCACGGTAAAGATTTCTGTTTATAAGTATTGAAAATAAAAAGTATATTATAAAAAAATACTTAAGTTGCGTAATGGCCTTTTGTTGGCGGATGAGTGAGATCAAAGGTCAAAGTGGGGGAAGTTAGCATTGCAATCTTACGAAACTCGCGTCCCTTGGCTCATGCCATTGGCCGTATGCAACACTTATACCCTAGGGAGAGGTACTTTCTAGTTTCTAAATATTTTAATCATTTGATTTGTTTCTCGTTAAACTATTATTATGTCGACTCAAATCGACGAAACTTTGCACCATTTTGACAAATAATCTCTTCTCCTAATGTCAAGTGACCCGACCGACTAATTGTTTAACAGAACATCTAAACCAAATTGTTTTTGTATCACATTTTGACACAAATATACTTTGTTTATAGATTATGTGAATACATTTGCTGTTTAGGCATGGGCATTCGTTATCAACCGAATCAAACCGAGCCGATCGAATCTATATGTTTTGGTTTTTAGTTTGAATTCGGTTTACTTCAATTGGTAGAAATCAAATATAAGTTTAGTTTCCGATTCAGATCGGTTTACAATTGAAAATCATATACAAACCGAATACTAAACCAAATAAATACGGGAAAATGGCTATTTAAATGCCCAACTTTCAAATTCCGTCATTTTATGCATGACTTATTGTTTAGTCCATCTAAAGAATAACATGTTTTGTTGACTTACGATTAAACACGAAATTTATGTTGACTAAACCAAATTAGACCCGACGTTAAATTGCTAAACGGACTGATGAAACCCCGTTAAATCCCCGTTTGATTATCTGTTAGAGAGGATACGACATCGTATTCAAAACACGAAACCCCCAAATTCATAAAATCTCCAATTCACTGAACCCCAAATCAATCCCCAATTCTCGAACCCTAACATCTAAAATCGTCACATTTTTCTCTAAATCCCACAAATCATCGGTCCATAACTCGAAATCACCAAGTCGAGTAAATTCCTTTTTCCCTTCTGGTTTATTCTTTTTTTTTTCTCAATCACTGATGGCTTCTTCTTCTGAAAAATCCTCTGACGTCGAAAACGGAAACCGCGGCTTCCCGTCGAAGTGCGTCTGTGGATTAGATGTAATGATTTTAACATCGAAGACCCAATATAATCCTGGAAGACCTTTTTTCCGTTGTATACGCCAAAGAGACAAAAGGTTGCCTTCAAACAAAAGAGATGTAAGTACCTTTTGTTGTTTTTGTTCTGTTTATTCTTTATGTGTCAATGCGTTTGTTTGTATGTTTAAACAACAAGGAC